AGAGAGAGAGAGAGAGAGAGAGAGAGAGAGAGAGAGTTCTTCTTCTTCCTCTTCTAAGTCCACCATCTCCTCCTCACCCTCTCGCTACCTGACTTCTCAGTATCTGCAGACTACGAGAGAGAGAGAGAGAGAGATTGGTGACGTTGGGACTTGACGACATTTGGATCCAGACTCGACATTGGGTTCAGACATTTGAGGAGGGATTATTTGGGACCTGTACCAAAGACTTGAGAGTTCACGACATTCCCATCTTCCCCTCTTCTTCGTCTAACCCCCCTCTTCTTCGTCTGTGTATGGTTGGGGACTGGCGCATTCTTCCTGTGTGAGCGCCAGGCCCCTTCACACCATGGAATGATGATGACGTATGTCTGGTCTGCATTGCAACATTGATTGTTCGGATCATTGGTATTTAAGCCTTCCGCTGTGCTATCTTGTACTATGTGAGAGAGGTCGGTTCTTGTTCTGGTCTGCATCTTTACAGTATGCGACATCACCCCTTCATTATTACAGCTGTACTTGGTGCAGCTTTCACTCCAGGTATAGCGATAATGACCAGCCTTTCCGTTCGGGTGAAGACGGTAGTCGGGAAGGGCAAACCTGCACTGCTCTCTCTGCACTGGATTTCCTGACTTACCACGCGATCGCATGGCTGTGATGGATGGACTGCTGTTGATAGTACTTGATACTGAAGAAGGTTTCACAAGCATTCCCTGATATTGTTAACCTACCGTCTTCACCCGAATAGAACGCCTGGTATTTATTGCCGTATCTGGTCTGAAAGTTGCACCAAGTACACAGCTATAATGCCCGGCCGTTCTATTCGGGTGAAGACGGTACCAATATCCAGTTTCATGGATTGACACTTGCAACTTGCCAATTGCAAATTTGTCAAAGGATCATCCCTGCAACAAGGGAAGGAGGACAAACATGCATCGCTTTCTGCACAATCGAGAGTGGCTCAGTTACCAGGTTGAGGGGGAGGAGGAGGAGGAATGCTCTGGATAGTGAAGAGGATTTTCACAAACATGGCCTGATGTTGGCTAACCTACCGTCTTCACATGAATAGAACGCCCGGTAATTATCACCGTATCTGGGCTGGAAGTTGTGCCAAACACAGCTATAATGACCGGGTGTTCTATTCGGGTGAAGACAGTAGTGGTCTTCAGTTTGATGGGCTGCAAGCAACAAGCCATCAGGACAAACCTGCAATGGAGTTTCTCAGATACTAAGGATCCACAGATGGGTGTGGTGGACTGCGCTGGGTAGAGTAAAGATTCATAACTGTCAGGCACACGCCTGTCAAAATGCAATTTCTCATTCTACCAGCCCAACCTCATGACAGGTCTAACTACTAGTCTGCCTGCATTTGAAACCCAGCAGCAAAATCTTCATCTACAGAGAAAGCAACACACTGTAGCAGCGGGAGTTGCAGCAGCAACAGTAGTATCCCTGTAGTCGTAGTTATAGTCATAGTCGTAGTCGTAGTAGTAGTAGTAGTAGTAGTAGTAGTAGTAGTAGTTGTAGTAGTAGTAGCAGCAGCAGCAGCAGTAGCAGTAGCAGCAGTAGTAGTGCTAGTCGCAGTAGTACTACTAGTAGCAGTGGACACAGAAGCCGCAATAGTTTCGCCGTCATTTCCATCATAGTAGCAGTTGCAGTAGCAACAACAGCAGCAGCAGCAGCAGCAGCAGTAGTAGCAGTAGCAGTAGCACTAGTAATAATAGTAGTAGTACTAGTTCTAGTAGCAGTAGAAGGAGAAGCAGCAATAGTTTCGTCGTCATTGCCATCATAGTAGTAGTAGTAGTAGTAGTAGTAGTAGTAGTAGTAGTAGCAGTAGTAGCAGTAGTAGTAGTAGTAGTAGTAGTAGCAGTGGTAGTAGTAGTAGTAGTAGTAGTAGTAGTAGTAGTAGTAGTAGTAGTGGTGGTAGCAGTGGTAGTAGTAGTAGTAGTAGGAGGAGGAGGAGGAAGAGGAGGAGGAGGAGTAGAGGAAGAAGGAGGAGGAGGAGGAGGAGGAGGAGGAGGAGGAGGAGTAGAGGAAGAAGGAGGAGGAGGAGGAGGAGGAGGAGGTCTGGATAACGGTTTGTGCAATGTGAAGAGACACTTATCCACACTGACAAAAGATGTCAGTGTGGATAAAAGATTCAGGATTGCACAAAATTACAGACCTGACAAAGGCCTCCATGGAGCCGTAACTCAGCAGTTACAGCATCTCCGAGCCGCGACAGCAGATCCCTCACCGCAACATCATCTTCACAGACACACTCTCGTGCAACCCGGTAGCTATGGCACACACGTTGACAAGCAACATGCCGACATGAACACGCAAACGCCACGTGGCCTAAGTACAAACCTCTCCCTCCCTTCACCCATGAAAGAAAGAGCAAGCAAGCAATAGAGGAGGGAGGGAGGGTGGCAGAGAGTGGGAAAGACATAGGAAGTGAGGCAGGAGGAGAGCTGCCACCAGCGCTGCTAACTTGGCAATGAATTGCGGTCATAGCAGACACCATCCAGTGTGCTCACGTGCACACACACACACCCACACGGAGTAACCCAGCGAGGGAGGGAGGGAGGAAGGAAGGAAGGAAGGAAGGAACGAAGGGAGACCTGTCATCTAACAAGCAACATAAGCTCAACTAGACCTCTCCTCTTACATGACACAAAACGATCGCAAGCACGGGCGAAAGGGAGAGAGCGGGGAAGAGTAAGAGGGAGGCAGAGAGAAACCACCTGATGTGCACACACACACACACACACACACACACACACACACACACACACACACACACACACACACACACACACAGAGTTCGCCACTGATGGAGGGAGGGAGGGGGGAGGG